CAAGGGGGGGCCGCCCCCGGGCGCCCGGCGGGCAAACGGCCACGCCCCCTGGCGCCCGACAACCTAAAAAGGTTGGGGACCACTGCTATAAGTGCTTCCGCTCACTTGAAACCTACATTTTTGCAGTAAAAAGTTCCCTTGGTGCCTACCTCTTGGCTTCTGAGTATCCACACTGCTGCCTTCCTCTAGGAGCCTGGATACTTACCTCCCACCTAAGCTATATAGTGATTCACAAACCAGGGGATCACAGATGTTTGGCTTCGTGAATTGCATATAGACCTAATCCAGAAGACTCCTGAGCACACGTACCGACTTAGGGCTTTCAGGAGAGTTCACACAAAATGGCTGGAAGGGGGAGAACCCACCTCATAACTTTTAGCCCAATAGTTAAGAGATTTACCTGGGATGTGGAAGAGCTCTGTTCAGATCCCTGCTCTGACCAAGGAGGAACAGGGCTTTGAACAGGGTTCTACTACTATCCCTAGCCATAGGCTATAAATATTTTGATATGAGCTCTTAACTGTGGATAAGAGAGTCATTGGAGCAGGGGGGACTGGACCATGCAATGGGAGCTTATGTTCCACTGATTATCTGCCACCACCCGCAAGTCCTTTTCAGAGTAGCAGATTGCCAGCGTACAGTTCTCTGTTTTATAAATACAATCTACATTCTTTATTTCTAGATATTCTTTATTACTAGATATACAACTTTACCTTTATCTGTGATATATCATGTGATATATCACATGTTCAAATGAGCTCACTTTACCTAGAAACTCTGGAGAGTGAGGCAGGAGAAGCAGAGAGAGAAAGGGAAATGAGGTTCTTGCTGGGGAACATTTATCTTCAGCTAGATTTGAAGCAGCGGGTGAAATAAGGAAAATAGGGAATATTGCCTAGTTATTAGAGAGGGGGAAGCCCCAGGATAGAGGACTACCCCAGCCCTCTCTCACTGCAGCAACTTAAGGTCAGGTGAGAAGCGCCTCTACATGGATGCTGCCGGTCCAGGAGGCACAAACAGAGGAAGGATGCATGTTCCCCAGATGGGGCTGCTCCGTGCTCTCCAGCCAGAGTGAAGAATGCAGCAAATTGTGCACTTTCCCCTTCACTCCCTGACGAATTGAAACAGACAGCAATGTCCCTGTACAAATTGGGGAGTGAGGAGCTTTAGCCCCCTCCCATCCTTGCTAAAGGGAGGCTCAGGGCTGGGGCAGTCCCAGACAGGGGGCGTGCCCCCACCCAGTCCCTTTCACCTACCTGGTGATTCTGTCTCTTTTTTGTGAGGCTTGATGAGAAGCAATCCCATTCCAGTCACATCCCATTTTCCTCACACAACCAAACCTTTTCCTTGCTATAAGTTAGGATAAGAGGAAGCTGCATACCAAATTTAGTCATTCTAACTCTTACCATTTAGGAGGAGTTCTTGAACAGACAGACAAACAAACTCTCTTGAATATACTGTAGATTTTTAGAGTATCAGTTCTGTGGGCTATATCAAATACAGGCAGTCCCCGGGTTACATGGATCCGACTTACATCGGATCCCTACTTACAAATGGGGTGAGGCAACCCTGCACTAGCTGCTTCCCCCCAGCAGACCAGGGAGACGCGAAGCTAGCGCCCCTGGAGCGGCTTTTCTCAGCAGACACTTCAGCTTGAGAATAAAGGGCTGAGGGAAGTGAGGTGTGGGAGAATAAAACTGAGCTCTGGAGAAATGTTTGGCTAGAGTTTCCCCTACAATATGTACCAGTTCCGACTTACATACAAATTCAACTTAAGAACAAACCTACAGTCCCTATCTTGTACGTAACCCGGGGACTGCCTGTAGTGTGTTTTGAACTTTGATTTGAATATAATCAGGCTTTGGCTTAGTCTGATTTCTGCTGGTAAAGAACTACTTAACCAGCATCAGAACTATAAAAATGTTCTTTTCCCACTTCCTGATATTTGGAACCAGCTACAACATCCCCGGGGAACACAATTATCTCCGGCAGTCCTGAAGGGTAAGACAGTCTTTGTGGTAGCTAAACTCCTATATGTCTGTCCCACATTTATACACCTACACAATGGCCAGACAGAATCTTTTTAATGTATGGGGCTCAAATACTCAGAGATCTTGCTGTATGTAACAAAAAACATTCTATATTTGACATATGACTTGGATCCACCGTTCAAGCCTAAGAACATAAGAACGGCCATACTGGGTCAGACCAAAGGTCCAACTAGCCCAGTATCCTGTCTGCTGACAGTGACCAATACCAGGTGTCCCAGAGAAAGGGAACACAACAGGCAATTCTCACGTGATCCCTCTCCTATCACCCATTTCCCAAGTAATGCAAATTGCATACATATTTAGACTTCAGATACTCAAATGGGCAAACTAAAGTCTGATGTGGCAGCTAGTGAGATTTTGTTTACACTAAAGATTTTCTGTCACTTAGCTCTAATTAACCAAACTGTTGGTACATCCTAATCTGGACACTCTGTAAATGCTTATTCCAGGACACACATGTTTGTCATCAGGGCTCAATTGACCCTAGAACAAATGTTAATGGAGTATCCCATCTAGCATATACCAGTAAGGTGGCCAATTTGTGTCAATTGACAATCAATAAAAATGAGTTTAGCAAACACTAAAGTTTAGCAAACACTAAAGTTTAGCTTCAGTGTCTCCAACCAAAAAGTCAGAAAGTGGGTGAAGATACTGGAACAGAGTTAAGGCTACTCTTGTAATCTTTATGGAGAATTTCCTGAGAGTCTAGCATTTGGCTTCTTTCAGTTTGGTAATGTTGCTTTTATTCCCATTCGTAATTCTATTTGAACATATTTCTCCCTGGGAATAAACTAATATTTGTAAAATATCTAACGAGACTCAGATAGCGAGGTGGCCATAATGTATTATTATTTGTATTATTAATAAATGAAAAAAAGAACAAAGAAAGAGAAATAACAGAAAATGTTAAGATCTGATGTTGTTTTCCATGAAACCATTCAGGAATTTCTTATTTGAGGTTAACATGAGTTCCCCGCACATGGATACTGATATCACGTTCCAGAAAATGAAAGCATCTTCTGTCAAATGCTCATTCATGCTTATTTGATACTGTTCACCTTTTTGTCACTTGTACCAGACTGAGTTGTTGTGCTCAACAACCAAGCTGTGGTTGTTGTTGTTGTTATTATTATGTTTGTTACAGTAGTGCCTTGAACCCAACCAAGAAAAGAGCTCCATTGTATAGGTGGTGTTCAAACACAGAGTAGAAGACAGTTTCTTCCCCAAAAAGCATCCAGTCTGTCATTCTCTTCTGCTGTATACCCCTTAATTCATGTGAGCCAGAATTAGCTCCCATTTACCAGGAAACTATAAGAAATAGTGTACCTGTAGGTTCTGGAGTAGTAATGTTAGCTTCTGCAGGTGGCCCATCACCAACCTCATTTACAGCTACAATGGTAAACCTATAATAAATCAAAGAGAGATTTTTCAGAACTTTATAAATGCCCAGAAAAACACTTTCTCAGCCAGAACAATAGAGTCCCATGCACTTACAGTGTTTCTCTTTCAGTGAAAAAAATCTGCATGAATAAAGTCATTCAATGACAACTTCTAATAAAAATATAATCAAATGAGGATTTGCGGTCACTAGCCTGCAAGATAAGGTAACACAATCTAGTAAATTACATAGCTACACACTGCCCTCAGATGTGCTGCCCTCACGTGGGCAACTCAGTTTCACTGCAAAGGAAGATCTATATTCACCTTGGAGAGCAAAGCGTGATCATGTGGAGTTTAAACGGAAGGGAAATTTACAAATGCTAAATTAGTCAGAAGAGAACTCCCCTATAATTCTCTGAACACAACAGAAGTGTGCATCAACAGGAAGAAAAATATAAAGGTTACTGAATTCAAAATGCTACATTCTGGAACTGCATCAGATTGTCAGTCCTCCCCTCACCAAATTTGCTTTTGCCTAAAATCTGATTTCAGTTATACATGAGGAAATGTGAAACCACTCCATCAGTTCAAATTGAGATACTCCAATATTGAAAACAGCACAACTGAGAAGAGACTTTTGCCAACTGATTCTGCAAAAGCCATGTCAATGTGCACTCTGTTCTGTCAATCTCAGACCACCCAGCATACACATACAGCTTCTGGATTGTAGGAACTCTGCTGTCCATTTTATGACACAATCTATCCAGCTGATCACTTTTCTTTGGTACCTGTAAGTAGTGTTTGGAAAGGTGGAATAGAACTGGAAACTATGACCTCTGGAGGCTGTGCGCAGTTCCTGCTTTTCACTGGTTAATAGTAAATTATAGCCAACAATCAATCCTCTGGGAAAGAGCGGTGGAGACCATCTGACTTCCACGGTGTCAGGGCCCGCACTTTGAATATCTTTAATGATAGGAGCTGTCAGAGGAACTGCAAAAAGACAGAAAACAGTCATTATAGATTTGGCTTTTCAGATGTGATTTGTTTTTGGGGGTGGCTGGCAGAAGATGTGGGGGATGAGTTAATAATAATAGTCCATTTTTGCTGGGGTTATATATGCTGCTGAGAAGTTCAATATTAGAGTCAAGATCATATCCTGGATTTTCAGGCATGGAGAATTTCCTCCATCATACCTGCAGAGGAGGGCAATGGAGGCAGTTTCCCTGGGGCCCAGTGATACAAAAGGGCCCAGGGCTTCTTCTGGCTGCCATCATTGCTGCTACAGCAGGAGCGGCAGCCTCCAGAGTCTGGGACCCTTAACTTGCTGCCAGCGCACCGCATGGTGTGCTCTGGGAGGCTCGCAGGGCTGGCTGGAGAGAGGGTGGACCATCATGGCACACCCCTGGTGGTGTCAAGGGCTGGCTGCCACCAGTTCTGCCCCTTCCACCCAAGGCCCCGCCTCTCTGGGAGCATAGGTCTCTCTACTTTGCCCAGGGGGCCGTCAAGTCTGTCAGCCTCACTGCCCTCCATGTAGCATGAAGGAAGATGGAGAATACCAATTTTGTGTGACATTTTTCCCCAGACTCTGCTCAGTATCAGTTTGTTCATGCTGTACCCCTACATACAATTCCTAGATGTTTATTGGGTGAACCAACTACAGAAAGGGAAAGGGAGGCAAGAACTACATTCCTACAGGGTGGCTTCTGATTCCACACACAGAACTAGGTTCCTATACCCAGGAATGCTGAAATACAAAGGTCTGATTTGTGCTTAGCCCCCTGCATCCACAGCTCACCCCAAGTCCCTCCCACCAAAGGGACAGTGTAGAGAAAAGTCTCAGTGAAGTATATCTCACTGAGTTTTATTCCTTCTTTTAAATATATCCCGTGGGGTTTTCCATAAAAAGGTCCAAACTAGCCCAAGAAAATTAAAACAATAGCACTTCATTTAGGGACAAGAAGCAAATTGAAACCTTTTGACACACCATATGTACATACAGTTTTTACACACACACACACACACACACACACACACACACACACACACACACACACACACTTACCTCAGTATTTCCTAGTTTTGTCCCAAAGTAAAAACAAAGTATTGCAAGGAAAGCACTACACAAGTGGAGTATAAATCTCACATTTGTCATATGATCCATAGACAAGAAACAACATAAGACCCAAACATAGTTATAGAGATGCCCCAATGGTAAAAATATCAAGTTTGGAATGCCTGCACACCGCAATATTCTGGAGAACACTTACAGGAACTTCTATTTTTACTCTTGCCAACAAATTAAAAGATTGAGGTGAACTTGCTGCTTTCCCTTTTTAAGATCTCATGGATTCTATTGTATTCTCACTCCTGGAGATGATTCATCCCTGGGTTCATAAAATACATCCAAAAAGCAAAATTCCAGACAGGTATAGATTTGTTTGGCTAGTGGTATCACCTTCCTTTCCTGGTTATGGCTGTGAGAAACCATCTCTGTTTAACTAGACAAACATATGACTAGGTTTCGCAATCCCACACTCCTCTTAGTAGCACCATGCACTCCTGGGTCATAAGGTTTATCACAAACTAAAGATAATTTTGTGAGAGCCTTTATTGTTTTGTCAGCACATCACTTGAAGTCCCAATAAGTCAGCCTATCCTTCCACTATTCTAAGACAGACATATTAGAATCACATAATTTTCTGTGTGGGTGTTTTAGAGGGGACCTTAAAAACTTAGGGGCTATCTGCTGTGACTAGTTACTGTAGATCCTGTGATACTTTTTGTAAGAACGTGTCCAGAACCAAAATTCTATCCTACTCCATTTGTAAAAACAACTGTGCACCCATTTGGTTGTTGTCCTACCACCAGAATGTAGCCTACACCATAGACTAATTTTTGATAGTGCTGCCTTTTGTTCTGATGCATTTACCCATTTCCTTCAGCATGAGAGGTGGTATATAAAGCTAAATAAATTCTTACTATTAATTCTAAACTTTCAGAAACTTAGTCACTTAAAACATGTAAATCTTTTGAGGTTCATCTATGTCTAATTTAAATATAACTTAATGATTTACATAACAGGCTCACTACCTACTCAATACAAGTAAATGCAACAAAAAGGAAGTTGAACAAAGATTCTTTTTTTGCCTCAGATATACACTAACGCTTATACATATAGTTGCTGAGGGGTCTGCCCTTATCCAAAGCCCAGAGAATAGAATGGAAAGACTCACATTGATTTCAATAAGCTTTGAAGCCTAAAGCCAAAAACCAATACTCTCTCTCCTTTCTCCTATTGAACATTAATATCTGTTTACCCAGCCCAAGCCCAGGAAGCTAATGATCCAACCAGTAGACCAAACTCTCTGATGAACCCTGGTCAAATGTCACCTGAAGCATGTTGTGCTTATGCTAAGAAGATGACTTCTGCTAGTACGTGGAACTTTAAAGCTCCGGTGGCTTCAAGTGTTACCCCAGGATGAGATTTAACATGCAATTAGATGTGACAAGATGCACCTTCACTGTATCTTATTTTTACATAGAAGCATATTCCTAACAATGTGAAGCAGGTTCTACATCACCAGCAGAAGGAGAGCTCATTCCCTGAAGCTGGTTCTATACAAGTCGTTTCTTATCTCTGTTTTATGACAAACTAATAAAAGTAACGATTGCGTCAAATGATTTCTTAAAGGCAAATTACAGGCAAATATTGGGAAATTTGCCTAAACTAATATTGCTTCTTTCCATAGCAAGAATGTTACAAACTTGATAGTTTCTTCCTGCCCTGATGCTATGAACTTCACCTAAAAGTCACCATGGGTTTTATTTGGTGGTGGGTGCGATACATTTCATACAAATTTGTTTTTCTTATTTTATATAGTTTGGTTGTGCATGATAATATTCAGATATAATAGAGATGTGGCATTTTCTCTATGTAGCTCTACAATGGCAAGAAGATATGTTAAAAAGGCTTTCACTGTCAATATGAAAGCCCAAAAGAGTCATCTAGAGATAGGATGAAAAATTACATTTGAGAACAAATGCACATGACTTTCACACTGCAATGGTAAAAAAAATCCACAGAGGCGCACCATGTGAACAAGTGGAAATATAATTGTGTGTAAAAGATAGGACAGTTTTGAATGCACAATGCATTCAATCCCAAAGGGCACCTGTTAACATCTATATCTAACAGACCATAAAAGGGAAAATAAACTCGAGATGACATAGCAAAAATGGTGAGAGACACTAGCAGCATGTGATTTTCTACACTGGCCTACAAATGGATCAAGAGCACTTTTTAAAGGTTAGAAAATACACATAAAATATCTTCTCCTTCTTTTGCCCATAGCCCTTTCATTTAAAAATTAATTTGTAAGTATGCATGATTAAAGTTACAAATGTGGGGAGATTTGCATTTTTCAGTTGGTTTTAGCCCATATAGCTTTTCCTCTTTTTCTTTCAGTCCTATTGTTGTCAATGTAAAACTTTGTAAACACCTGAAAATAAATTTCTGAAAAGGAAATCCATTCAGAAGGTGATTAGTAACACTTTTGAGTCAGACAAATGGATTATGAATCACCTGTGCCCCATGACTGAAAGAAATGTAAGAGTATCCTGTTTTTTCCATTCTAGTGCTTCCGTTAAGTACGCTTTTATTTGAAGAAACTTTAGAAATGCAAATTAGCCCATCAAGTTTGGCCAATCAAGGCTAAAGTTTCAGGCAGTGTTAAACCAGCCATCAGTTCTGTGTCTACAAAAATAATCATCAAACATTTTCACTCACAAAGCTGTGTGAATACATATTAGGTAACTAAGCACCCAACAACCCAATCTGCCCCCGAAATTTTAATGAAACAATTAGTTCCGTGTGCCTTTATTTGGCGACTAAGCAGGAATCACAGCTGAAAAGTTGGCCATAGTTCTTTCAAATTAAGCTAGATTCTTTAGTAATAGAACCCAGCACTCTGTAGTTTTACAATCTATAATGCGCATATGCATCTGAAAGGGAAAGATAATAAAACAGAAAACATTACAATGCCACTATATAAATTCATGGCACTCCCACACATTGAATTTTCCATGTAGTTCTGGTTGACCTGTCTCAAAAGATATATATTAATATAGGTGTAAAGATGCAGAAAAGACACTTTTCTGCAGTACTCCTTCCTAGGAAGTCTTTTCCCATTTTGTATACATGCAACTGATTATTTATTCTCTCTTAAGTGAAGAACTTTGCATCTACTCTTATTGAATTTGATCATATTTATTTTGGGCAATTTCTCTAATTTTTCAAAATGATTTTGAATTCCAATCCTATCCTAATCCAGGCTGCCAGCATGGTATCATCCACAAACTTTATAAGTGTTCTTAGTCTCTGTGCCATTTTCCATAACATTTATGAAGATATTGAATAGAACCAGACCTAGGACAAATCTCTGTAAGATCCCACTCAATGCCTGTGTCTACATTGGCACCCTTTTCCGTAAAGGGGATGCTAATGAGACACTTCGGAATTGCAAATGCCGCGGGGGATTTAAATATCCCCCGCGGCATTTGCATGAATATGGCTGCCCCTTTTTTCTGGCTCGGGGTTTTGCCGGAGAAAAGCGCCAGTCTAGACGGTATCTTGCAGAAAATAAACCCTTTTCCGGAAGATCCCTTATTCCTTGAAAGTAGGAATAAGGGATCTTCCGGAAAAGGGTTTATTTTCTGCAAGATACCGTCTAGACTGGCGCTTTTCTCCGGCAAAACCCCGAGCCAGAAAAAAGGGGCAGCCATATTCATGCAAATGCCGCGGGGGATATTTAAATCCCCCGCGGCATTTGCAATTCCGAAGTGTCTCATTAGCATCCCCTTTACGGAAAAGGGTGCCAATGTAGACACAGGCATTGAGTGGGATCTTACAGAGATTTGTCTTGAGTTCAACTGCAAACCCTTGATAACTATTCTCTGAGCATGGTTTTCCAACCAGTTGTATCACCTTATAGTAGGTTTGTGTAGGTTGTATTTTCCAAGTTTACTTATGGAAAGGTCAAGGAGACAGTATATAGAGCTATACTAAAATCAAGATTTATCACATCTACTGCTTCTACCCTCATCCACAAGACTTGTTATCCTGTCAAAGAAGGTTGGTTTTGGCATGATTTGTTCTTGATAAATCCATGTTATCTGTTATTTATCCCCTTACTATTTGATTATTCATTTGATCCAGTATCTTTCTGGGTACCCAAGTTAAGAAGACTGGTCTATAAATCCTTGGGTTGTCCTTATTCCCCCTTTTATAGATGGGCATTATATTTGCCCTTTTTCAGGTCTCTGGAATCTCTCCCACTTTCCATGTGTACTCAAAGATAATTGCTAAGGGCTCACAGATCTCTTCATCCAGTTTCTTAAGTGTTTTAGAATGTATTTTGTCAGAACCTGCTGACTTAAAGACATTTGACTTGCGTAACTATTTTGTAACTTGTTCTTCCCCTATTTTAGCCTAGATCCTACACCATGTACACAGATGATCATCCAATCCAGATCCTACAGATCCCACACCAGTTCACAGATGAACAGACCAATCACTGTTAACCTTCTGAATAAAAACTGAAGTAAAAAAAGGCATTTCACTTCAGCCATTGCTGTTTTCTTCTGCTATTGAAATGAATATGCAGCAGGTTTAAAACAAACAAAAGGAAAGTACTTCTTCATACATGGTCGACCTGTGGAGCTCATCCACAAGGGATATTGGGAAAGGCAAAGGTATAGCTGGGTTCAAAACAGACTTAGGTAAGTTCATGAAGGATATGTTGATCAGGACTCAGACCCATAGTCTGGGTCTCCCTAAACCTCCAATGGTCAGAGGCTGGGATAGATGAATCACAGAAGATTAGTGTTGGAAGAGACCTCAGGGGGTCAACATGACAGGCGATGGATTACTCAAAATTACCCTGTTCTCTTCAATCCCTCTGAAGCTTCTAGCACGGGCCATTGTCAGAAACAAGATTGGTGGTGTGGGAGGGGAAACAGGGCAACTGCCACGGGGCCTGGCAGTTCAAAAGGGCCTGGGCCTCGTGGATGCAACTACTGCAGCAGTGGTGGTAGCCAGAGTCCTGGGCCCTTTACGTTGCTACCAGAGCCCCTCGTGACACACTCCAGGTAGCACTGAGGGCTGCCTAGAGGGAACAGAGGGACTGCAACGTGGCACACTCTGGATGATCCTGAGGGCTGGCTGCCTCAGCCCAGCCCCTTCCACATGATGCTCCCCCCTTCCAGGAGCACAGAGCTGGGCCTCCTACTTTGCCTAGGGGTCTGGCAAGGTTGTCAGCTGCCTTGGACAAGATACTGGGCTTAATTGACCATTGGTCTAAATAGTATGGCTGTCAATATGAAAGTCAATGGTAAGTAATTTTTGGCTTTAGACATCAAAAGAAAGCAACATTTTTTAGCACTGTCCTTGAAGCTGTGATCAAAAAGTTTAAATTACCTCCAAATGCATGTGTCCGGTAACTGGGACTAGACAGAGAATAGAGCTGTATCTGAGATGTGATGATCCAAACTACTCGAAACACATACTGTGTGAAGGGTTGAAGGTTACCCACTGTGTACGAATGCTCAGATATTACCTAGATCAATACATATAGATATCATTATCACTGTTCATCTATCTGGAGTTATTTTATAAGATCTCAGTCTAGCCTAAGGTAACTATATAAAACAAAATGTACATATTAGGATATCACAGACCTAACAAGTATCCCTTATAAAGCAGAACAAGTTCTAGGTGATTCCGATTCCCCAGGCATTAGGTACCAATTACTCCTTTACTCTTTTCTTCAAAACCCACTACCAAATATTGGATGGATGGAACACAATATTAGGAAGATAGGACATACGACTGGAAGAGTTCTCTTTGATCAGATCAAATGTCCTTATATTGCAGGCAATCCAAAATAGAATCCTGTTCCTACATTTATCAAATTTCATTTTAAAACTAGTTAGGTTGTGTCTCCCCACTATGCCTACTGTTTCAGAACCTCACTTCTCTGATTGTTAGAAACCTTTTAATTTCCAGTCTAAAATAATTTTAAACACCATTATAATTTTAAGGAAATAAAAGCTAAAATAGTAAATATACTAACATTGGTAAATTTTATTTTTTTGTCACACCCAAAGGCTTCTGGGTACCTAACAAATATACTTAAACTGAACATAACAGACGTTTACCCAAATAAATCCAAGAACAAAAACCAACAGAAAAACACTCCCAGTAATCCACTGCCAACTTAGCTAAAATACATTAAGAATTTCAAAGTGCTTTACAATCTTAACATATTGTACACAAGACCCATGGCATTCACCACTTAAATGCAGCCACTTCTAATGTGAAATGTGGCAACTGTTTTATGAAATACAGAATAGGCGAGAAGAGGGGGTGAAGGATACCTTCTCAATTGAAACATGATTTGATTGTGACTTAGAATACATTGTTTTATTAACAGGTTAATTTTTAAAAAAAGTAAGTGGGAAATATTTTGTCCTCCCTTACCTCAGTATACCTCCAGTCTCCAGGGAGTTGATTGTACTTCCACTGAATAATGTATGTCACGCCAGAGATATTAGCCGACTTCCATCTTAGTGTCATATTGTGGCTTCCAATGGAAGATGCAAATGGTGCTGTAGGTGTGTTCAAATAACCTGAAGGGAGACAACCAATAAAACAAACAGGGTTTAAGTGATTAACCTTCTCACTATGGTATTTTGTGGCAGCTTCTAGGCAGCAAGAGAATGCAGCAGCACTCTCTGAAGGATTGGATGTTACACTGGAATACACTTTGTTGGTGACACACCTAGTACATTGAGTAAAAGTAATGTGCATCTTGCTCCAGGGACCTGGCACATTCAGCAGTTGTGAAGCCGATAAAAATATGGCAAACATGCATATCAGGAAAACAGTTACCGAAAGAACCACAATAATGTTATAAAATAATTGATACAGTCATATTAACTGGGCCAAACTCATAGTGGGAGCTAGAATGAAATTAATGGAAATGTACCCATCTAAGTTAGCAGTGAATCTAGCCTGTTATGTTAAACTATATCCCTTAAATGTCAGCTTTGGGAGATTTATCCATCTCTTCACTGTCCTCACTTCCTTCTCCACTCAGTGATGGGTAAATCTTTGAAGGAGAACCCCTTCCATTAAAACACAAATGCATGTGCTTATTGTTAAGCACATGTGCAGTCACATACGTGATTCAGTGGCATTACTCCTGTGCTCAAAATTAAAATACATGCTTTAAAAATATCCATCCCCAATACAGCAGAACAGCAAAGCCGGTGTTTAATTTTAAGCACGTTGTCTAGTCCTAATGAAGTGTTCTGTTGAACTACACAAGGTAAGCAAATGCTTAATGCTTTGCTGAACTGGGGACCAATATTTAAATAATCACATGGAAGATCATGACTAAAAGACCTGTCAAATAATGAACTTATAAATAACAGGAACTATAAAAACTAGACAGGGAATAAAGAATAGGACATCTCCCTCTTAAAATGTTAATTCCATTCTATTTGGAATTTTGCAACTGTGATAAAATTACTATCTGTGAGAAAACTGGATCTGCTTTCTTAATTTTTTTGGTTTGCTTTGATTTAAATGAAGTCCCTAGTCCTTCAGTGAAATCAAGGCTGTTTCGGTCTATACATGTTTGTGGAATGCCAGAATTGTACTGTAAATTAGAACCATGTAAATATGGCTACCTCCCTATGTCCTGTCATAGCTAGTAAGATCTGATCTGGGACATTCATGCTTGTAGCCTCCTCTCATCACCCTCCTCCAATTTACCTCTCCATAGAGCGGACAGCAAAACATTTCAGACAAACACAATCAGTTGTGGAACTTGCTCTCTGACATCTTGTCAGAGACCAGCTTTGACAGTCATAGGGCCCAAAGTATAATGTACCTGTTCAGTCTTGCCTTTTAATATATTTCCATTCAGTCAAAGCATGGGTTTGCTGTGCAACAATAGATAAAACATCTTCCCCTGGGGTCATCAACAATCAGTATACATATGCTTGCTTTAAAAACGGAATGTGAGGGACCAAGTTCTCAAAGCAGTGAGCAGCACACTAACACCGGAATATAGATATATATATTTGGTTATAATGTGGAGCTCAGCAAAGCTTTTATTATAAAGCTCTTCTGAATGGAAATCTGTATTTTTTCCAGTCAGATAGGGAAGATCCAGGGGAACTGACAGCCTGGCTGGCTCTGCACTCTAGGAAGGGTGCACACAGCACATGACACGCCCCTCCCCAATCCTGCCTGAAGCATCCTGCACCTCCACCTCCTCAGGCAGCCCGAAGGGCCACCCAAAGTGCACCACATGGGGCTCCGACAGCAATTAAAAGGCCTCAGTTTGCCATTGCTGCCACCAAGGGCCCTTTTGAAATGCCAGGCTTGGGAGCAACGGCCCCCTTTGTTCCCGCTTCCCCGTCAGAGGGCCTGGACAGATCCACAGGTGCTGGAACTCAGGGTGATGCATCCCTTGGCATGAAGTGTTTTCTTCATATATAGGATTTACAGCTTGGTTCACTGGCTCTCTGCACCCCAGTATGCTCATTATTCCAGCATCCTTAGGTAGATCACTCAGGGTGGGACTCAAATGCATTGTGCATTGGCCTAACTGCTCCCACAGTTCACCCTTGACTTCAACACAAGCAGAGTAGGCCATACCTGAGTGCATTTGAAAATCCTACCATAAATGCCACATTTATATCCAAAAATTCTCAAGTTCCTGGAAGAAAAACTTTTTTATGAGAGAGCAGCCATTGCTACTTTTAAGCTACAATAGCCGTGTAGAAAACAGAAAAGGAACAAGATGTTTCTGGAGATGTTCAAAGAAAATAAGGATAACAAAAGCAAAACAATATCCCTAGAAATGAATTCAACACACCTTGCTTGGGTTACTGCACCACATTAGGTCTGTGCTTACCTTGTACTTCAGCACCATAAGCCTCCTCTGCACAGCTGCAGCCAAATTTACAGGAAACTCTCTGCATAAGACATAGAGCTCACCAGTTAATTTTGGTTCAATGAGATGTGTTCTTGAAAGCATCCAAACACAGGAATACCACAGAAAATAGTTACACTCATTTTTAAAATATTGACATGGTTACTCATTCCAAAAATCTATTGGCATCAATGGCAGTCTTTCCGTTAACTTCAATGGGCATTGGATCAGGCTCTATATTCTCTATATAGCCTGCCTGCTGCAACCCACAGTTCTGGGGACAAATACATATGTGAGAATAATCGAGGAAGGGAAGCAGGATATGGCCTGTTTAATCTATTACTGATGAAAAGCCCTAAGCATTGAGCCCATCCATGCTTGCTTCACATATTTCCCACCAATGCTTCCTGCTCTTAGCCAATATGCTGTATTAGAAGCTTTTTTAAAAATACATTTAACATCTAACTTTTTTTTATTATCTGTGTTATAAGTTGTGTCTAGGTCTTAACCAGCCCTAGAGCCCCCATGCAACCAACACTGAACATACTCACAGTAAAAAACAGTCCCTACTCCCAAAGAACTTACCATCTAAATAGAGAATACAGACAAAAAAGCCTTACTAGCTCCATTGAACTGAAGCACAGAGAATAAATGATAATACTTTCAAAAATGCCCCATGGCAGGCAATCCTAAGCCTACTTTTAAAAGTGACTTTGGTGCATAGGAACTGAGTCTCACTGTAAGGGTATGTCTACACTACCCCGCTAGTTCGAACTAGCGGGGGTAATGTAGTCATCCGCAGTTGCAAATGAAGCCCGGGATTTGAATTTCCCGGGCTTCATTTGCATGAAGCCGGCCGGCGCTGTTTTTAAATGCCAGCTAGTTCGGACCCCGTGCCGCGCGGCTACACGCGGCACGGACTAGCTAGTTCGGATTAGGCTTCTAATCCGAACTAGCTGTACACCTCATTCAAAAAGAAAACTATTAACCCATTTTACAGCAGGGACACTGAGGCCCACAGAGATTAACATATTGCCCAAAAATCACATAGGCACTCTGTGACATAGCCAAGAATAGAACTCAACTCTCTTTAGCCACAGTCCAATCTTTAGCCATCAGACCATCCTTTCTCTTTCACCGGCTTAAAAATAAAGACAATCTATGCTCCTGTCTGCAAACCTCATCCAGACATCTACATTCAAGCTTCACTTCTAGGTCAATATACACTGTGTATCTTATACTTTTAACAGGAATACAGCGATGTCATGCTCAGGGTTTGCACAACACAATCAGTCACCTGGATTTATAATTCTGGATATCTAAATTGTGTTTCAATCAGATGGGTCAACTGAAGTTATTTCAAAATGTTTAATCTGGTCTTATTGGCATTTCACTTACCTCACATGCTCTGATGTAAGTCTGATTCTGTAGAGAAGCAAACCATAAGAGACAAGCTTAGTAGGAATATAATTCTGAGTGGCCCGATATTCCAAGTAAACTAGTATCAACTCATCAGACATTTCTTATGCACAGAGTACACAGCAAAAACTTTTCAGTGATAAATGAAGAAAATCCACATTCAAAACTGGAACGCCAGCTTTTGAATTATGCCAAGTCTGAATGAGCTCCAGATTTCTCAAGAAAGGGACCCAGTTCCTCTTAGAGAGAAAGTGACTTCAAACATTTCCCTGCCAATTGTCCCAGAACTTGTGGTTCATGTCCGGATACTACTGGTTACAGCAGGAAACATGGTGATGACATATATTGTAAAGATTGGGGAATAAAGGGGTCTGGTGCAGAAAAGTGTTGAACATGAACAAATCTGACATACTGAAAACCAAGCAAGGGAGTTTAATTTTCACTGAATGTTAGTGTTCACATTGTGGCAGACATATCGTGGGTTTGTATTGTGACAGTACTCCCATGCCAAGAACTTGTGATTCCCAGGTTATTGTAATCTTATTTTAAAGACTTCTGAACTAATGAGTGATAAAAGCCATTTGGTTATTGATAACCAGTGCTACAGGTAAGGCAAGTAAATTAAACTTCTGAATTAACAATATGATGTTACATATTCCAAAAGAAAACATATAAACTTCATGAAAAACAAATTATGGCTAATACATTTTTAATTATAAAAGGTTGATTTGGTATAATACTTTTGGATAATTTAACAGGTAAAAAGCAAAGCATAGGAAATGAAACCATGACTAATACACTACTTACACATTGCAATGGGCAACTTTTTTGCACTGTTGTATTCCAAAATTGACATCCCTGTGCACACTGAAAGACAGAGATAGTTGGTACTTTAAAGGGTGGCAATCAGACAAACAAGGAGGAAGGATGGTCTAGTGGTTAGGATGCTAATATGGGAAACCTAAATTCAATTTCTTGCTCTGCCCCAGACTTCTGATATAACCTTTGGCAAGTCATGCAGCCTTTCTACGCATCCATCCCCCTTGTATAAAATGGTGTTACAACGTTTCTCTACCTCATGAAAATAAATATATTTAAGATTGTGTGATGCTTTAACACTATGGTTATGCAGTCTATATAGATAAAACTCCTGAAAGTTTCCCCTAAAAATTAATATAATGACAAAACATAGATGTCTGTGTGAGTGATCCACACAGCCACTTCGAGACAGGTCCTTGACAGAAACGTCCTGACTGAGGGTACTGTCATGGCTGGTGTGCAGCTCTATCATTTTGGTTTAGACCACAGTTTTACACTCTGTTCTGAGAGATGGTACCTGCTACAAAGCTTCAGAAACAAAGTAAAGAATGAATTTTTGCCATGGGAGCCCCAGTTACTCTCTTGCTCTGGAAAGGGCAAGGGCAAAATTAATTAATTTACTCCCATTGTGAGGATCTTTCTTGGATCTGGCCAGGTGGAGCAAGGAGTCCTCCTGCATCTACTCTTGACTTTCTGGTAGAGAGAACAAGCACGTTTTCAATAAATAGCTCCAAACATTCAAAAATGGACCCTCCAAAAATCATCATGAGATATGAAAAATAATAATGCATGTTGGATTTTTATCTTCTGGTTTTGTTATTGTGTTAATTACATTTCAGTCTTTTCTCTGCTTCCAGGAGGTTTACAAATTTTCTTTAAAAAAAAAAAGTTGACGTTCTCTCATAATCACTTGACTCCAAGAGCTGGGGCTTTATGAAAATCACCAAATATGATAAACCATAAGAAAATCATGATAATTGGCAATTCTTGATCAGAGTAAAGACACGTAAGACAAGCATGGGGGAAGTGCTGCATGGACCAGTAAGCACTGTGACAGTCTAGCTACTTATATATATACACCAAGGCCAGTTACACACAGAATGTACTTCACTAAAGATTGTGAATAACACTGATGATTGCATCCTCAATGTATCTAGCAAATAAGTGAGAGTGAGCCTTCAAGGGGCCTTTGGCTATCAGGATAATTGTGTTAGATATCCAGGCTCTCTAAGGGAACCTCTCCTGAAGGCTGCTGCTTCTTCCAAAAATCACACCATCAAAAGTTTGTGTTAACCTGTAGCGATCTCCAGCATAAACCCAATCATTTATAATTCCAGGGCTAACACACTAACTTGTAAGACTGTAATTTTAGTTTGCTCCCTGTTAAATGTATGAGAAAATAAAATGGGTGTTATTTTAAATTTACTGGACTACTCAGAGTGCAATAGTAACAATTTTGTGCCTCTTGGGGATAGGAGGCCCATACATCCCATTTTGGTTGGGACAGTGCCCTTTTTCAAGTTCTGTCCTAGCCATCCCGACTTCTTTGATAAAAATGACTATTTGTCCCATTTGCTCTTGTGAACTGAACTGGCAAGAGCAAATGGGACGAAAGAGTCAGCACAACCCGTGGCAGGGCATGGAAGAATGCTGGGGTGGAAGAAAGCACTGATTTTGGGCACTCAATCCCCAATCCCAGCCATGGGCAACACAGAGCTTGGGTGGGTCAGCCCCAGCCATAGTCAGCACAGGGCTCAGGCGCTCAGCCGAAGACCTTGACAACACGGAGCTGGGTAAGCTGGAGGGTCAGCCCCAGTCCTAGGTGGCATGGAACTCGGGGAGAGGTCAGCCCCAGCTCCAGACAGCATGGGACATGGAGCTGAGGGGGGTGGGAGCTCAGCTCCAGGCTGTAACCAACCCCGCTGCTTGGATGAGCCCTGGACTGTCCCATTTGACCTTTAGGAAATATGGCCATCCTACTCATGGGAGCACTGACTCTGACACACACCCAAATGATCTCAAATATTTCTTCAATCTGAACTTTTTTTAGACACTGACTTGAAATAAAAGCCTAAATCAAGACTTGTGCCCCATTATGGCAGATTCACTCTTTTTTTGTTTTTTTACAAAACTACATGCCTGTTTAAGAAAACGGGCCAAATTCAGGCCTGCAATAATTAGGTGTAGCTTCTCTGGTAGCAGTGGAGTTGCACCCATTTACATGATGTCTTAATATGATCCACCGTACTGGCAATCAGTTAATGTGACCACTGCACCCTCGTTATCTATACAGCAGGAAACAGTAACAATGCAAACCATTACTCACGGCTCCACTGATGTCACTAACATTGCAAGCATTATTGCCAAGCTCTCCTTCCTGTAAATGAAAAAGTATATTTTGAGTTTAGATATTCAGTACTTCTCTATGGAAAAAAGCAGCACTTCACTTCAGGTTTTTTCCGGATCAAATGAAACTTTTAAAATTATTGTGGAAATTGTGCTTCTTATTTGCTTAAGACATGGAAGTGGATGGAGTCAGATGGAGCCAATTAAGTTATCTCGGGGATATAGTTGGCCCTTTATCTCCCGAGTCATAGATTTTAAGGCCAAAAGGAAATAGGATGATGATCTAGTGACTTCCTGTAGGCCACAGAGCTTCCCCAAAATAATTTCTTTTGAACTACTCCACCGTTCTTAAAAGAACATCCAGTCTTCATTGAAAAATTGCTAGTGATCTACCACGACATTCTGTAAATTGTTCCACTCGTTAAATACAAAAAAAAAATGTTATGTAGCACTTTAAAGACTAACAAGATGGTTTATTAGGCGGGGCAGACCATAATAAACCATCCTGTTAATCTTTAAAGTGCTACATGACTGGTTTTTTTGTTTTGTTTTACCAAGATCAGACTAACACAGCTATTTCTCGTTAAATACCTTCACTTTTAACCTTTTTTATGCCTTATTTTCAGTCTGAATTGGCCTATCTTCAACTTTTAGCTACTGGGTCTTGCTATACCGTTGTCTGCTAAACTAAGGATTCCACTATCAAATTCCTATTCCCTGTGTCGATATTTATAGACTGTGATTAACCTTCTCTTTGCTAAGCTACATAGATTGAGCTCCTATAAAGCACATTTTCCAGTCCTTTAATCATTCCTATGGTTCTTCTCTGAGCCCTCTCCAATTTATTCAGATTTACTGAGCCAATAATAAAGGCATAAAAAACAAACCTGGGGCACAAATGGCACAAGTCCAACAGAGTATGACTTTCAAAGTGCACATTTCAGATTTTGTTTCTTTAAATTAAATGCTTTTCCTCTGGCTTCCTCCTGAAATGGCTGTATCTGGCCATGTGAAAACTGATTCTCTTCTGGTATGAAAAGTGCTTCAGATCTATGGTTCCTATTCCCAGAGCACCTTGGTGGAAGTGTACAAGATCAGGCAACCTTTTAGAAGTGTAATTGATTGTGGAATGGCTCAAACCAGCCTTGAGTAGCTCAATGTGGGGTCATGGGCTGTGATCTTACAAACACTTATGACATGTGCTGACCCCTAAGCATGGTGCTACTCTCATAAGAAAAGTTGAACATGCATTAGAATTTGCAGAATAAAAGGTATATAGTGTGGCAATGGTTAAGAACCTCTGCCTGATGCAAATCAGTGCCACAGCAGGTGTGGTCACACAGGTTACCTTTGGACTGAGGGGAAATGGAAGCTTTGAACTGCTTCGAGGATGGCTTTTTCTCATTTCGGTCTCTGTCATAATATTTCTAAGGGTATGTCTACAGTAGCTCATTAATTCGAGCTAGGTAGGCAAATGAGGCGACTAGAGTTGCAAATGAAGCCCGGGATTGAAATATTCCACGAGGAGTAACAGTTAATTCAAACTAAGGACTTAGTTCGAATTAACGTTTCACTGCCGCGTGTAGACACGCAGCAGTGAGTTCGGGTTAGTGAAATTTCAAAATGGTGACCGGACTGTAACATGCAAATAAAGCCCGGGATATTTAAATCCTGGGCTTCATTTACAACTCCGGTCGCCTAATTTGCCTACCTAGCTAGAATTAACGAGCTAGTGTAGACATACCCAAAGTTACATATTGAATATGGATGTCAAATGTTTGGCTTTTGAAGTTACTATGAAGAGTGAATCATAGGCACCAACTCTGTGGGTGCTCTGGGGCTGGACAGCCTCAGGGAAAAATTAATGGGTGCATAGCACCGACCAGCGCAAGCTCCTCTCCTGCCCTCCTCTCCCCCTTGCACCTCTTGCACACTAGCAGCCCTGTGCTCATCCACTCCTCCCTCTCACTGCTTCCTGATGGTCAAGCTCCAGGAGGGAGGGGAAGGAGCAGGTACTGGGCATGCTTGGAGGAGGAGGCAGAGTGGAGGTGGAGCAGGGTTGGGAAGAAGCAGGGTAAGGGTTTGGGGGAATGGAAGGAGTGTGGGCAGGGCCTGAAGTGGGGAATCAAGTACCCCCTGGCAGACAGAGAAATCAGAGCCTATGAATCAAAGAATCCTTGTTAGGGATACTACTACATCTTAAGCCTGTTGCAAGAAAGATGAGTAATCCTTTCACTGCTTCCAGGGTTCTTGTATGCATCTGGAACAGGTTTTAAAGATTGGACATTTTAATAAGACTGTGTACCTGGTACATCCATCTTGTACATTTCATGTCCATAATCAGTATGTTTTTCAGTATTACTGACAGAGCTAATTAGCCAGAAAACACACAAAGTCACTTCTACAGAGCACAAGAACATGGTCTTCTAGACAAGATCTATTGACATACTACAAGCCAAATAACAATAAAATTTGAAGCATAATTATTGATCAGTTTTCAGTAAGCAACTGGGCTTATCATCTTTATGCATCAACAGAAGGAAAACAAATAAATTCCACTTCACTACCCAAAGGAACACTATGAAAACATAAGATTAAAGATACAACAACCCACTCTCCTACTTAAAGAGACACCAACAATTTGAAAGTTTTAGAGTCCCCTGCCAATTGCTGTGATGTTTACAATTACATTTTCCAATTTTTAAAATGTTTTATTCTTCCATGTTGCTGTGCGAAAGACCCATCCACTTAGAAGGTCTACCGGCTAGCTAATTTTACAGTAAAAGGTGTACATTAGACAATCAATAAAAAAAACCTAAAATAAGTAGCTGTTATTTTTTCCTGTAGTCTTTTCAAGTTATAATAATCTGATGTCATTGTAACAAAAGAGAAATAAAATTCAAATGGGGTATGATTAACTGGGGTTTCCCTTTAATAAGTACAATATCCTTCTCCACTGCAAACTCAATTTTTAAAACATCATTTTAGACCCCCGTTTTGTCCACATAAGTCTTTACACACAATTTCAAAAAAAGCAGTTTTCATTAGAAATAGTTAACTGTGGTAACAACCATCATATAACTAAAAGTTAAGAATAGTTTTTACAAAACTTACCAGGCCACTTGTACATAAATTCTGACAGTTAATCAAGAAAGTACAATATACTGTAGAAATCCATAGGCAGTAAACAGAAAGAAGAGTGAGTAGCTTAGGCTTCCACAAATTAATGTTCCTCATAACTTGAGCTACTTCTTTTCCTCAGGCAGTCTTCTACTTTTCTTGTTTCAAGTCTTACAGATTCCTTGGATTCTAGATGCCAGATAGAAAACTGCATTTCAATGTTAGTAAAATCCTTCTTTATAATCCATCCATTCTATGACTTTGGGGCTTCCTGGATTACTTGAAATTGTGCAACATCTATTCAATAGTTTCTTATTAAACCACTCAGACAAAGGTGCCGACCAAAAGGTCGCATGACTCCTTATCACTGAAGTGAAAAGAAAAACTACGTGAAGTGATCTTATCAATGTATTATGATGAAAGCGGAAGAACATAAGAGAGAGAAAGAGGAGCCCTGTTTATATTTTCTCTTATGAGAAAAACCATTTTTAAGCACTGTTTTTAAAAATGGCTTGAGGTAACACAGCTGTGCTCACTGGGGTTGTGAAGAATGACTTAAAACATCTTTAACAAATAATCCACACTGGCCAGCACAACCATGATAGCTAAGACTATTTTCAATAACTGTTTCCAAATATGATACATGATGTCACATATAAACCCAAAACTCATCTGTGTTGAAAAGTTTGGTTGGGTTGTGCATGTAATGACAATAGATTGTCTACTGATCCAATTAAATTTTAAAAGTATTGATGTTGTAATTATCACTGTTTTTAAAATATCTATATTTGGTAGCAAAAGGAAGCCTCACCAAACATTTTGCTAGGTACTTTGCAAACACATACAAAGGGCTTGTCTATCTGCCGAGTTTCACCAGTTTAACTTAAGCTGTGATTATGTACTGTTGCAAAAGGCTGAATGGACACTTATTTCCATTAGAAAGTGCCTTATTTTGGTCTCTCTTAAATATATTAGGACATATATAAACTAAACTGACATATTTAATTTAACCCAGATAAATATAGGCTTAGCCACACAGGGATTTATCCAGAATTAACTAAACCAGTTGAATTAAACTGACACAAGCCTATATGTGGACAAGCCCAAAGACACAAACCTTTCCTGAGTAGCTTGCTTTAAAACATTCTAAGGGAGATCAACAGACATTAAAATGTAGAAAGTTCTATTTTCTAAAATGACCTCCAGTAACTGTAGGGTATAAAACTCCATATGCAATTCATTATCCCTGCAATATCATCTGTGTAGACATTAATTAATTTGAAAATAATCAAGCACAATCTGTTAGTCAAGCACCTAAATTGGTGTAATTGTATTTGTAACTTTGTGTCCACGACACCAGAGAAGACTGGTGATGCCCAGACCAAAATCAGGGCCAAAATATTCAATTTAAAAAGAAACAAAGTATCTGAATGTGCCAAGTGAAGCCCTTTGTGGAACACAGCTCACTCCTTCCCTTCCGCAGCTCCTCCCAGCCTGACCCTGGAGCAGCTCTGCAATCCTCTCGTGCCGCTTCAAAGTCCTCAGCATTGGTCAAGCTGTTGATTGTTACGTTTGCCATATACACACCAAGAAGTTAGATATAAAGTATAAAATACTCTGCCGGGGGCTTGAAATACAGCCCTGCTTTACTGTTTGACTGCAGAAGCCACATATGCAAAAACCCCAAAATAGAGAGACTCAAAGCTTCCTAGAGAAAAGCAAGTTCCCTGACCAAGCTCTTTGCTGCTCTTTGCAGACTGACTGCTCCTGGTAGGACCACATCCCACACACTTCTCTGCAGAGCCCCCTGTCTTGCATCTAGAGTGATAGTTTATAATCTACTACATGTTGCATCTCCCAAATCCGGGATTCTCTCGTCCGGCAACATCCGTGGTCCAGCATGACCACAGTTGTTCCTGGATGAGAGCTCCCTGGGGCAGGAGGGCCAGCAGCTGGGAGCCCAGTATAGCCCCAGGAGTTTTCTAGTAGTGGGGCTGCAGCAGCCTAGGCAGAGTGTAATCAGGATTGTCTGCTGCCCAGAAGAAGGGCCGGGACCACAGCAGCCCAGGAGGGGAAGCCTGGCCGGGCCATGTCAGCCTGGGAGGTGGCAGGGCTGCAGCAGCCTGTGTGGCAGTGGTGGTAGCAGCAGTGTGATGGGGGTTGCCTGCCACCTGGCAGCAGGGCCAGGACTGTGGCTGCAGCAGCCCGAGAGGGGATGCTGGCCAGGTGCCACTCCAAGTGGGACTGGGGCTGCAGCAACCCAAGGCAACATGCTGTTCAGCAGTGCGGCTGTAGCTGCCTGGTGAGCTAGCAGCGGAGCTGGAGCTGGGGCTGGCCTGCAGACAGCCCAGCCTGACTAAAGGAGCTGGCAGCAGGGAGGGGCAGCAGGCTGAGGGGCTGGTGCCAGGGGACCTCCCGTTGTCTGGTAAATTCCTCATCCGGGATCAGTCTGGTTCTAAGGGTGCCAGATAAGAGAGATCCAACCTGTATATATTTGAGAAAGTTTGTGTCTGTTTGTTCATGTGCCTGTGAAGAACTCCTCCTAAATGGTAATAGTGAGAACCAGCAAATTTGGTATGCAGCTTCCTCTTATCATAACTTAAAGGAATATAAGGGTTTGGTTGTGCCAGGAATGGGATTGCTTCTCATAAAACCACACAGAAAAGAAACAGAATCACCAGGCAGGAGAAAAGGACTGGCTGCACCACCCCCTACCTCCCTCTGGAACTGCCCCAGCTCTGAACCTCCCACCTCCTAGGCACCTATCAGCTGGGCAGGGGGCCTAAAACTCACCCCCACCATTTGTATGGGAACATTGCAGGCTGTTCCTCTTTGTCAGCTAGCAAGGGGAAAGTGCACAGTTTGCTGCATTCCTCACTCTGGCTGAGGAATGCAGGGGGCAGATGAACTTGGACCTGCCCCAGCTGAGGGACATGCACACCTTCCATGGCTGTTCCTGCTACAGCTGCAGCAGCCATGGAGAGGTGCTTTTCACCTGGCTCCAAGCTGCTGCAGTGAGAGAGGACTGGGGTAGTCCTCTGTCCCAGGGGTAACCCCTCAACCCTAGCCCGACCCCAGAGCAATGATTTAAATGTAGTACAGGCAGTCCCCGAGTTACGCGGATCCGACTTAAGTCGGATCCGCACTTACGAACGGGGATCTCTCGCCCCGGAGCTCACAGGCAGCGGGACCGCCCAGAGCGCAGCGGTCTCACCACCTCGACCTCTGGGGCGAGAAAAGCTGCTCCGGGTGCCCCTGGTCTGCTGGGGACCATCTCCAGAGACCAGGGACACCTGGAGCAAAGCCGAGGAGGCGGAGGGGTCCCACGCCTCTGAGGCTTTGCTCTGGCAAAGCAGGGGAGGCGCGGGGCTCCGCCCCCGCCGCGGGCTCTCCGCCCCAGGGTCCATTTATGTAGATAAAATTACTGAAACCTTTAAAAAACATTAAATGCTTCCTTTAATGTGAAAAGTATTCACTTGTTTAAACCTCTTCCTCTTTCCTGGCTTCCCTGAGGCCTCTTCACTACCTTTTTACAAAGAAGCAGCAACAGAGTGGTGAGATGAACAGGAGCAGTAAAAAGACCTGCAAATTGCCATCACATATTTTCCCCTTCTTTGTGGTCCAGCAAAAAGCTAGCACATTAATGCTCTTCTACCCTTGTAACTTTTATATCCACAAAAGGAAAAATAAATTCCTTTTTAAAAACAGGTTCCTGGAAAAAAAAAAGTCAGAACAAGTAATTCTGAGGCCCATTTCTGAGCATTTGCACTCATTTCACATATACAGTCACCTAGATGCCTTGTCACATGACAGTTACCAGGGCCATAGCTGAAGCCTTTCCCATTTTGAAGCTGTGAATAACACACTTCACACCCATATTCACTATTGTCTGTTCCTTTTAAAGTATGAAATGAAGATTCAGGATGATACCAAGGTTTGGATGTCCTAGCAAGATAATTTTAAAATCCTTCACATTTCTAACACTTTAGATCCAGAAGTTAGGTTAGAAGGTCTAAATATAGCATGTATCCATGTTATTTAATGAAATGTAACAGCAAGTTGTCAAGGTCTCTCTCAAAATACTATCCTGAGCTAGTAGTAGTTTCTTGAACCATATTAATTTTATGAAAAATTGACGCTGTTGAAACTGATCAGTTTCAGCAGCGGCTGAATCTGGACACCAGTTCCGACTTACATACAGATTCAACTTAAGAACAAACCTACAGTCCCTATCTTGTACGTAACCCGGGGACTGCCTGTAGGTACGTTTTCATTTCATTTTCAAAAAACCAAAAATGAGTTAAGGACTCAAGCAACACTGGGTACATCTTGTAGTCGCTGTTGAAACTGATCAGTTTCAGCAGCGGCTGAATCTGGACACCAGTTCCGACTTACATACAGATTCAACTTAAGAACAAACCTACAGTCCCTATCTTGTACGTAACCCGGGGACTGCCTGTAGGTACGTTTTCATTTCATTTTCAAAAAACCAAAAATGAGTTAAGGACTCAAGCAACACTGGGTACATCTTGTAGTTTTAATATAGTTTTCAATATACCGCAGTGCTGAGGTACCTTTCATGAGGTACCTCAAGCAGGGCCATGGACAAAGTGAGGGGAGGCCCAATGCAAGCAGAGGCATGGGTCCTGCCAGTAATCGGCAAGCACATAGAACTCCTCTGGCCCCAGGGCTGCGTTGGGAACACAAACTCCTCTGGGGCTTTGGCAGGGGCCCAGAACCTGCCCTACAAAAGCAGTCAAATTCTATACACACCCCTGCCCTCAGGATATAGTCTACAGGTGGCCAGTTGCGTCTAAGTCCATAAAAAAAGATAAGACCAGAATATATTTAGATTTGCTTATCTGAGGTGATTCTTACATACTAATACATTATTAATTATTTGTATTGTGGTGGCACCTAGGAGTCCCGGTCCCAGTCCTGTGCCCTATGATATTAGGTCAGGGGTGGGCAAAAGTCTCTCAGCAGGCTGGAACCAGCCCGCAAGGCACTTTCCGGCCCTGCCCCCTAGCTTGTTGCCTCGGAACAGGAGAGGGGCATGAGCCCTTCAAACTGCTTCTGTTTAAAGGGCTCCTGTCTTCCCCACACCTTGTCTAGCAACTGTAGGGGAGGCACAAGCCCTTTAAATAGAAACAGCTGAAAGGGCTCTCAGTCTGGCAATGCTCTAGCGCCATGGGGAGCCCAGGGGAACAGGAGAGACCTTTAAACAGAAACAGCTCAAAGGGAACCTGCGTCTCGGGCAATGTGCTAGAGGCATGGAGAGCTGCAAGCCCTTTCAGCTGTTTCTCTTTAAAGGACTCTTGT